ATTTAAGTGCATACTGCAAATATAATTACATCAATTTGTAATAACAAAGCAAATAGAAATTTTTTATTTATCCAAAAGAAGTTTCTCACAACTTGTTTCCACTTTAAAACTTTGTCCTACAGGTTTTATGCTATTATTTATCTTTTATAAAACTGTTGTCATTTCCTTACTTCCTTGTTCAGATTTTAAGTTTACAAAGAAAAAATTAATTATATTAAATTGTAAAAAGCTGCGCTTATTTAAATGACAAAGAGTTTTAGTATTTTAACGCTTGTAAACCCTCGAACAAGATCCGGCCAAAATAGTTAGTCAAAGGTTCAAGCAGAGTTTATCTATTGACTAGTGTAATCCTCACCTATCAGGACCCTCTTAGAAACCGGCTTCAATTTGCTTAATACAAACGCTTTGCAAACTAAGTTCGATTTACTTAACACTGTCGCAATCAACGTTGTAATTTGACATTCGTTTTATGCCTTGGCCCATCCTCCTAGAATCAATCCTACCCTGATTTCAAACACTTGCCACTTCAACCTCCACAATTGTCGAGTAGAAGTTGTTGAATTTGAAGAATGGAAACATTTTGTCTGATGTACAACATTGCATGACTGTATATTTGTAAACTGTTCAAGGTGAACATTTTTTTTTTCAATGTCCTATATATTATTTGGTTTGCACATCGCTAAAAATGTGTGGCTAATTTGTTGTTTGCGAATTTATAAATAAATGCTGAACTGTAGTACAGTAAATTGTGGAGGAAAAATTTAAAAACATGCCAATGCCTCCTTGATAATTTGGAGAGATATATAATATTGCTAAACGTGCCAATGCCTCCTTCATAATTTGGAGAAATATATAATATTGCTATCTTAAAAAATAAGAACAAAAAACAAAATAAATGGAATAAACAAGGGGACGTGGGGTCACCGATTTTAATAATACTTTTTCATGATACTAGGTCGAAAAAAATTGTGTTCTTGCAAAAAAAACAAAATATAATAATAATTAAAGTAAATTATATTTAACAATTTCAATTTAACAATTCACAAAAGTGCATGCGTTCATGGTTATTATGTATTTCAATTAATTATTCTTTTCATGTAAGATCTTGGTTGGGATGAAAAAGTTAGTGTCACGAGCGGGATTCGAACCCACGACCTTCGGCTCATTAGGCCGCCGCTCTAACCAGTGTCACCACAGCTAATTGCTACGCAGCGGCGTAATGAGTCGAAAGTCGTGGGTTCGAATCCCGCTCGTATCACTAACTTTTTCATCTCAACCAAGACATTACATAAATTGAATAATTAATTGAAAGAAGTAATTTGGTAAATTAGACCTTTAAACATAAATGGGTTATTACGTATGTGTAGATTTTGTATTTTTATTACGAATAGGAACTTAATATGCAATTTTGTATTAGATGAGGATGAATGTATAAAAACCTTGCAATAACTAAAAGACACAGGGTGTATACTTGACCAAAAAAAGTTTCTTAAAAATTTTATTGCATTCGTTGTAAGCACCCTATAAAACCAACAAAAACGAATTTTCATCGCAATAAAAAATAGATGAAAAAAATACTTCTACATTTACAAAATTCATAACTCTTCTGAATTTTTATCCAAATTCAACGTTATTACAAGCGTTGGAAAAAAAATTGTTTTTGCTTTTATGCGATGTCAGTAATTTTATGCCATTGTATGTTTGAAAACTGAGGATAAAACTAACAAAAAGTCTTCATCTATTATTTTTTATTTACGATTTCTACAAAACGACGTTTATGCCATTACGTGTATTTTATTAGGTTATAAATATATCTAATGTTTCCAGTACAGCCGTTTCAAAATTATCGGTGTTTTCGTGATTTTCGAACAAAAATCTGATAAATTTTCTTCCAAAAAACTATTTTCACCTACTTTGCAACATCTAGAGTCAACAATCAAAATTGTATTCGACGGCAAAATATTTATTGTGTATTTCGATAATGAAATACACAATTTGTGAGCGAAGTAGCAGCTGTTACAGTGTGATATCGCTGATAATGATCCAAAAACAGAAACAGAGTGCACTTTAAGTTAATTATATTGAAAATCCATCTGCATTTTGCTCGGTTCAAAAGTGAGTCAACAAAGCCTGGACAACTTTGCAAATAAGATTTGTTTTTAATTTAACAAGAAACCAAATTCAGATTCTTTTTTTCCACCTAAAAAAACCGTGAATACAAATTTTCGGAAAAATCAAATTATATTTTTCCTCCCAGATTTTTCATTTTCTTCCTTCTTCGAGTGTCACAAAATGTCGGTAACTTTCGAAACGACTCCATCGATCTACTGGGGACGTTGTAGAAGTTTGCAACCTTATCGAGTGTTTCAGTTAATTAATCTTTTTATGTAAGGTTTTGGTTGAAATGAAAAAGTTAGTGCCATGAGCGGGATTCGAACCCAAGACGTTCGGCTAAGTACACCGCTGTTCTACCTATCGTGACTTCGATCCACTCGGACACCAACTCCCCATCGCAACCTACAACCTTTCGAGTTTTCAGAATCAAATAGATTATACGACATTTGAAAAATGTCAAAAAGGAGGGAAAATTCGAAAGGTTGTAGGTTGCGATGGGGAGTTGGTGTCCGAGTGGATCAAAGTCACAGTTCAAGTGGTAGGGCAGTTCCTTATTTAGCCGAATGTCGTGGGTTCGAATCCCGCTCTTCGCACTAGCTTTTTCATTTCAACATCTCAACCAAAACCTTACATAAAGAGATTAATTGAAAGAAGTAAAAGGTGAAAGGTCAATAGCCCACTAAATATACTTCTCAAGTGTATGTAATTGCCTTTTACTCGTTTCTATAAATATATTATAACCGGAAAAATGAAATAAAACGTATATTTTTTATTGATTTCAACCTTGTTTTTCCTCACATATAAAGACATAAAATCTAAACGTTGTTGACATAAACTGAAATTGAAAAATCTTGCTTTCGAACAGCTGTTATAATGTCGAATTTGGATAAAATACAGAGGAGTTAAAACAGTTAAAATGGAACAAGAGAACAGTAGAAAAACAATGCCCCAGTCAAAGAATGTCTATGTTTTGTATGCAATAAAAGTTCAAATTTTATGGTTTTATAGGTTGCTTATAACGAATATGATTTTGTTATTTATCTATTTTACTGAAAGCGTCTTTTTGTTGTTGTAACTTTTCTAATTCAATAAATCAACTGATATATAATATCCTTGAGTGACATGCACAGAAAAGGCAGAGAAAGTTTTTTTTAACTTTACGTAAATGACTTTTTTTATAATTTCTTCCCATTAGCATTAACGCCCGGGCTCATGTCTAATATTTTTTGACCTAGTTCAACTAATTTTTAAAAAATCCCACATCGGTAGCCACCCCTTGTAAGTAAATGTTATATATGTCTTTTAAATGTTTGACTCGCTTAAAAAACCACTCCCCATAATTTTGCATTAAAGACGAGGTGGTTGAAACTCTACGCCTTTCATAGTACTAATATTACACAGGAAATGTTTTCACCTTTGAGCAGGAAAAGTTCGTTCTTGTACAAAGTTGTTTTTCAATACCCATTTTATTATTTATCTTTTTGACACATATTTTATTTTCAATTGTTTCATTTTTTACTACACTTATAAAGACTCACGAAAAACTTGAGTATTACAGGGTACTAAACACAAGAAAAAAGGCATTTTTTTAATGTTTCAATGCAAATTTTCAGGTCTGCTTTGTACGGAGAACACGTAAGGAGTGAATTCGTTGGTTAGTGACTTATGATGAAGCTGAGGGCGTGGTATCAACGATTTTAATGAAACTTTTCTTCTTTTTGTTCTTCCCATTGAGCAGTAATTTAAACAGTTTTTGAACTTATTGCATGGTCTTATCAAATGTGATCAGATATACAAACAAAAAACATACAAACGAAAAGGCGGTTGCAGTAACGTATGGCAAAAATTTATTTTTGAAAATAAAAATCCGCTTAGTTTTAAGCATACTTTAAATCCCGTAAATACAAATTTTGATAAAAGTCAAAATGTATACATTTTTGTACCACTGGGGGCATTTTTTCTTTCTCCGCTGTCCGGTATTTTACTTAAACATTCGTAACACCTCTGGATTTTTTCCAAATTCAATGTTATTACAATAGTTTGAAACCAATGTAACGTCTCCACTAGGTCGGTGAGGAATTTTGTGATTTTTGAAAAACTTCGGAGAGAATTGAAATGTGACAAAATTGAAAAAAAAATTTTCAAGGGTTTTAAGGGTATAAAAATCGAATATTGACTTCATTTCTTGCTTTAAAATAATTAATTTAGTTTGTTAAGCCGCTCCGTAACAAATTACGTCTTTTAAGTAGATAGCTTATGTAAATATGATCCTAGCGAAATTGGTACTTTATATCTTTACTATTTTAATATATATAATAACATTCAATTAATTAAGGGTTTTAGTTCGGATAAAAAAGTCAATGTTATGAGCGGGATTCGAACCCATGACCTTCGGCTTAGTACGCCGCTACTCTACCACTTGAGCTATCGTGACTTCGATCCGCTAGGGCACTTCCCATCTCAACCCCACCTTTTGAATTTTCCCTCCTTAATTAATTAATGATATTAATTGGACAAGCGGACCATGAAAAAAATGAATATATAATAATCTTGAAATTATGTTCAAGAAAGCATAAAATTCGGACGCATATCTGGAATTTTTCGACAAGAAAGTTTCGTTAAAATTCGGTGATGCCACGTCTGTGTTTGTTATAGATGTGCTCGAAAGGTCAAGAAGAATGTTGATTGGATGTTGAAATGTTGTTATTTCTATCGTACGAACATGTCCAAATTCATAATTTAACAAATAGTTCAACGTATTATTTAGTCCTTATGTGTTCCCGAATGTGCTTTGTGAGCTTTCTGTGTTGTGCTTCGGCGTTGACTAATGTGGAGTGTTGCGCTTTTTTGTCGATTTGAGCCCGATCCTCAGACTACAAGGCTAATTTCGTTTATATAATTTTCACAGATAAGGTGAAGAAAAAGTATGGGAACCTCGGTGCTGCGGTAGTGATGGTGGAATTGGAAAAGGGCTCAGGAGGACTCGGTATATCTCTCGCAGGCCATAAGGATCGGACAAGGATGGCTGTCCTCATCTGTGGCCTTAATCCGTCCGGTCTAGCCTACAACTCTGGAGCTCTTCAGGTCGGCGACGAAATACTAGAGGTGAGTCATTTCAAACACATCTCATATATATGTTTCAAAAAATTCTTCCTCATTATATATTTTCTAAAAAAAATTTGATTAATTGTCTTATCTTTTTGCCTGGAGAATTTATAAAATTTTCAATAAACTGTCAGAAGTTTTACATCAGATTAGGAAAGAGGCAGATGCTCTCTCAGTGGGTTTATTGTCCCCTAAACACCGACGCACATACATCAAAGGGGGATAATTTACATCCGCCCCTAACAATCCACTAATTCTCTACGAGACAGGCGATATTAATTGTTTATTTAGTATAGCAAGGGTATATAAGTTTCATTGCGTTACAAATAAAAACTTAAAATCTAATATTATTGACCTAGAATGTCCTTCCAACGTTATAAACTTTCTACATTGTTAAAGTTAAGTTAAAAGTTAAATCATTTAATATTTTAAACATTTTTATTTATAATTATACAGAAATCGTGAGATGCGGTCTGGTGTGATGTAGGTTTCAGAAAAACATTTTCTTTGTCGTGCCAACGTTTCTATCTTTATTGAGATCATCTTCCTTCTAGGATGTGTTTCATCACATCCTACGTGTATTTGTAAAATTTAAACAATGTTTGTAAATGTGTCTCTGGTTCAACGATGTTTAAGGCAATGTGGACTAACGACGAGGAAAACCTTTTTAAAGATCGGATCGAAACCGCTCAATCAGTGAAATGGATCAGATTTTTTTTTTCATGGGTCACCTCGCGCTCACCAAAATTCCATGTTTACCAACTTTGGTGTGAATTTCCTTGTACCGGCGCCACCATCTTTACANAATGTATTTGATAGACTTAATGTAGTATTATTAGTAATAGTGGATGGTGTTAGTGTTGAGTTGTAGTTGTTTATTATTCTGTTAATAATGTGTTTAGGGTAGAGATTGTTATGGATGATCTGTTTGTATATCTTTATGTTCTTGTGATGAAATGATTCATGGCTTAGGGTAATAATTCGGTGAAGTAACCCTTTAGCCGTGTTTATTGTTGTATGAAGAGGATGGTGAGATGTAAAGTTGAGGTAGCGATCTGTGTTTCTTGGTTTTTGATACCAATCTGTGAGTAATGTGGTTGTTTTATTACGAGTGTATCTAAAAATGGTATTTTTTTTGTTGTTTTCGATTTCATGTGTAAATTGTAGGCGTGGGTGAAAGCTATTAAATGTATCTAATATAGTTTGAAACCTGCATCACACCAGACCGCATCTCACGATTTCTGAATAATTATCGATTAACGGTCACTAATCACCACACATTTTTATTTATTTATTTGTCTGCATTGGCGTGATTATCGCGTTATAAAACACTTTTTTTACGAGGGTTCACAAGAGCAGAGGTTATGTCAACCCTCGGAGTGCCGGTGTTTTTGAAAAAAAAGGCCTATTTGTAAGTATGTCGGTTTCCAATGCAGGGCCGCTGGATTCGAACCCGCGACCTTTACCTTACAGTGATGAGCGCCGTGTCCACGCGTTGCGGCCACCGACGCCCCTTCTATAAAACATTTAGATACAGAATTTTGCGAAAGTCGGTGTAAATCAATTTTTGTCTTATAATTTCGACGAACTTTCTCCCTGACTGACATTTCTCTAGCATCATTATTCTCGAAAGCTAGCGGACCGATTTTCATCATTGATAATATGTTTTGAAAAAATTGTCAAAAGCATTTTATAACTGTATTGAACATTAAATTCGAACTATTATTACAATTAAAAAAGAGGTTAATTTCTGACAAATAATTTTGCTATTTTGTGTTTTCTTATAGAAAATTTTTACATATTTTATCGTACACAACTCGTTAAAAAGCTTCGTTCTTCTTTCAGATGGCCTGTTTGACCTTAAAACCCTTATAATTACAAAAATTTATATTTAGGAAATTTCACATTAGTTTCACGAAAAAAATTTATAACCTAGTTTACTTGAAAATATATTAGGTTTGCAGAAATTTTTTAGTTATTGATAAACTTTGATCGTTTTTATTATATTTCTATTGCAATCTACATAAAAAATGCTGTAAAATGATAGATTTACATAGTTGAACGTCGAAAAATAAATTTAAAAAAACGGAAAATTTAATTTTTTTTGTGTTTTTTTCGAAACTAGGGCTTATTTACAAAAAGTGACTGATACGTGTCCTATATTTTGAAGTGTAGAATCCCCAAAAAACGTTTGGTCCAAATCCGTAATACTCCAACCTGGTTGTCTTGTTGTTAGTTAAATCCTTTACTATTTCTTTTAGGTTTTTCGGTTTTCTATTTATTAAATCATTTAAAATAAAACCCTTTGGAATCATTCACTAGGAAGATTTTCCTCGGGGAGCTCGGTAGCCGAGTAATCAGCGTGTTAAGCCAGGAACACACTTACCCGATGCTACGCCATGCGACACTACCCGATGCTACCCGACGCCTTGCCACGTTTTGTTGGGGTGTGCACATCTATCCGACTCAAGCACACGTCGCGAACAGTCCATAGCGTTTATCACAATAATCACTATCACAATCGCAACGCATCTTTTATTCTTAATGCACTATTTTGAGCAAAACTTTGTAATAAATTGTTAGTTAAATTTTATGAGCACAACAATCTAATAAATTGTTTGTTAAACTTAATTGCTTTAAATAAAGTTACTCCTACCCATCATAATTAAACAATGTTCATAAAAACTTATGAATTTGGTTTACATGTAGTTTGAATAAAAATATGAGTGTCCGGTTCTTTTGTCTTCGACTGTACTCGATGCGACCTGACGAAAATCTGGACAGTGGGGATCGCAGAGCGTCGGGTAGGTTAGCGTGGCATAGCATCGGGTAGATGTGCACGGGGGTAATGCAACCTTATGGAAAATCGGTGTTTGGGTTTGCGTAGGGTAGCATCGGGTAGCGTCGCATGGCGTAGCATCGGGTAAGTGTGTTTCTGGCTTTAGACTCTCGGCTCTCGACCCCGCGGTCGTGGGTTCGATTCCCACCGTCGCCCTGGCCTCTTTTAACGCTCATAAAAATCAAGTATCATCAATCTCGTCTAAAAAAGATTCTTTTCTCTTCCGTGTGGTTACCAGTGAAGCGGATTTTTCCTCACGGCTGCGTCTTGAACCATCTTTTTTCTTATCACTAATTGTATAACCTACGGCAAATAATAAGTTCCTCCAAATCTACATGCAATTCCGATTTCAAGAAATGCATTAGAAGGATATTGAGACTGTGGTTCATTGGGCGGTTTGTAATAAAATAAACCTCAATGGAAATAAGAGCAAATGTTTCATAATATGAAAAAGAAACCAAATTCAATTTTCGAAATTAAGTATTAACTTGGTACAAACCACCAACTGGTCCTCAAATGATTAGCAGGGGCAATTTTTCAGAATGATTTGGTGATTGATTAATGAAATTTTGAAACGTAAGAAGCCCTTGAAGAACTTTGTATTATTGTATAACAACTTGATATTTTAGCCCTGTGTGGTGATGAGACATTGAGAAACAGAGTGACGATGTACAGTCCTAGGCCCTGTACCTTGTTGGAAGCGGGTATCTTTGTTAATTTTAGGTAGGCAGATGTTTTCTAGGTGTCAAGACTCCAATAGTGTTGCTAAAGGTTTCGATTTGAAAGTATAGGATCAGAGTTTCTTGAAAGGATCGCTGTATCTTCAATGGTTAGGGTGGTCGTTTGAGAATGCGATATGGTAGTTTGGAAAGACGCCGACCCTCAATGTAACCGTGTAGATGGGGCCGCGGTAGCCGAGTGGTTAAGGCGTCAGACGATGTAAAGTTGAGGTAGCGATCTGTGTTTCTTGGTTTTTGATACCAATTTGTGATTAATGTGCCATCTGGTTGTTTTATTA